CTTTGGACGGCTCTGCTTCAGAGCTATGCATAATGCTCTGGCATGGACGAACTCCCAGTTTACAAATGACTTGTACTGCAGTCATCCATTTGTAAATCAGGTGTTTGAAACCTAGGGACGCACTTGCTCCATTTGTATGCTGGGAGTTCCGTGCATGTCAGAACATGATGATCAGCACTGAGGCATACAAACCTAGCCACCCAGAAAGGGGGGGTGGTAGTGGTGCAGGGGAGGGTCGTGATAGACAGGGAAAGAATTCTAAGGTAGTATGTCATGAAGGCCAAGGTCACGCAAAGCCTGCAATCATACCTTGAGTCATGGGCTATTTAGTAAAGCTGAAGGTGGCTAGGAACCCTCCGCCCAGAAAAAAAGCTCAAGCATATGAATTCTGTAATCTCTGGGTCTCCCAGGTGCCCTGAAGCCCAGTCCAGACCTAACTAAGGCTCCTAACTAAGAACACCTAACTCAGTGTGCTCAACTTCAGCCATATATGAAAATCACTTGGGGTCCTTTGTAAGAAAACCCTGCACAGCTCAGCCTAATTAAGTCAGAACCTCGCACAAGCTCGGCTTAGGTGGTTTGTGAGGATGCCCAGGGCAGTCCAGCTGGAGGTGGGGATAGAATCACTGTTCCAGCCCAGTGCACACCACAGGTTCCCTTCCAGGCACACAGGGCTCACCTGTACCCAGGTCTGAGGACTGCCTCAGCTGTGCTGAAGCTGGCTAGGGATGCTAAGCGCAGCTCGGGCTGAGGGCCACTGGTCTAGGGAAGGCACACAGCAAACTCTTATAAGAAGAGTCCTGAATGTGTCTTTTCCACAAAGCTGGCCTTCTGTCAGTTGGGTGAGCCACAGGGTCCCGCCTTTTATCCTAAGAGCTTGGCTCTTTCCTGGTGATGGCGACAGCCTGGCTTTTGGCTTTTATCCTCCTCTAAGCAAGACTGTGTATTCAAAGGTCAATTTGATTATTAATAGTGTTAATAGTACATTTTTACTACTTACTCACAGATCTTGGAAAAACAGGTTAAAAAAACAAAAAACAAACAAACTAACAAAAAAACACTGGCCCTGTGGCGGCGGCTCACGCCTTAATCCCAGTACTTGGGAGGCAGAGGCAGGCAGCTCTTTGTGAGTTTGAGGCCAGCCTGGGCTACAGAGTGAGTTCCAGGACAGGCTCCAAAGCTGCACAGAGAAACCCTGTCTAGATAAAACTAAAAACACTGAAGCTGAATGTGCTTGAACCCAAGTGGACTATTGTTTAATTTTACTTACTAACTTAAATATTAATTATAATGAAGGCAGAGGAGGTAGAGAGAACTCACACGTGCAGTTGTAATTGAAGTACATAGAGCTTTGGGGATCATCTGCACGATCTTAGCAGTTTTTGAATTCAGGCTGGGGTTCACAGGGAGGCCCTACCGACAGAGCTAAGTAATGGCTGAGTTTGTGCTTAGCCCTATCCGAAGGAACGAGGGGAGACGGACCCCCAAAACACATTCTCTAGAATGCAGACTGGTTTCTGCCCCATGATGCCACCCACCCACGCCATGGGCTTCACCTGAGCTCTGCTCGCCTGGCGAAGGAGCAGGCGTGAAGTACTCCTCAGGGAGGGAGATGCTGTCTGTGTCCTGGGAAAGAAGACATCACATTAGATGAGGGCCAAAGGCCAGGTGGCTTCTTCCACCTGCTTCAGCTGGGCCTGCTCTCGGGGGAAAGTTGGAAAGGCCTGGCCTGGACTGAGACAAGATGGGGCTGCCCTCTTTCCTCCCAGCACCCAGCACATACCGTCTCCTCAGAATTCCTGGTGGGGCCCGAGGTGCTCTGGCTCCTAGCCTGCTGCATTGGGATGTTCTGGCTGCTCAGGGGTCTCCTTTGAGGGAAAGGCTGTGAGAAGTCCAGGGTAATGCAGTCAGTGAGGTTGATCTGGCTGCTCCCACAGACTCCCAGTTCTTTACAGAGCCCTCCTCTCTACCCTGCTCTAGGAGCTAGCCTGGGGACATGGCCTTCTAGCTGTCCAGGGTGATCTCAGCCTGGAAATTCTGATGTGTTGGTATCTGAACCAGCACAACCTGGTACCACTGATGAATGATAATATGATGCCAGGCACTGTTAGGCACTACATGGCCTGTCTCCTTTACCTTAGATTCCTGCATAAGTGACACCACCATGTTCCCAGCATCCCCACTGCACAGGTAAGGGACTCCAGGCTCTAAGATGGCAAGCTCTCCTGTGCTCAGCTCACACAGCTAAGTGGAAAATCCAAGTATCAAACCAGGACCAACTGCTCAGATCTACACAACCCTCTAGACTACCCATTCCAGATTTCTTCCATCTTAGAGTCGGAGGACAAATGCCCCCTTGTTCTCCTCGTGCCGCCCTGAGACCTGAGAGCTGTCGTTCTCGTTCTCGTCCTCCTCTGCGGTGCCTTGGGTGGGCTGGAGGTCCTGAACCAGAAGGATAAGTGCCAGGAGATCTGCCGGGCGCAGGGTGCTTGCACCGTGGCTGCAGAGACAGGGCAGGGCAGCCTGTGAGCATGCAACCTCAATCTTGCTGGATATACAAGGTCTAAAGACTAGTCTATCAATTGTTAAAATCAAAGGTGTATAAAAAACAAAAATTATCACTAGGGAGGCCCTGGGGACCAGCAATAGACTCTGAGCGTTTGGTTAGAACCAACCCCAAGAAGGGAGGGGGCTGAGGTTTGAGACCTGAGCCTGGGACAGGCTGTCAAGGTCCCGCAGACAAGGACCAGGAAGGGCTTTGGCTGAGGCCGGGCCCTCAGGGTTACCTGGAGTAGAAAGCCAGTAGTTTGCAGTGCACAAGCAGGAAGGCGTGCTGGGCCTCCTCATTGTCCCGCTCAGGGCTGGAGTTGACGGCCTGAACCACGTGTCGCTCGAGCGTCTCGATGCTCAGTTCACAGAGCTGGGGGTGAATCAGCCGCTCCACTGCCTAGTCAGGGATTGGCAGCGAAGGAAAGCACGTCAGTCTGTCAGCCTGTACCGGACGGTACATTCTCTTAGCCCACAGGACGCTTAACGCTAGATGCCGGGTATGGGAAGTTGGGGGACTAAGATGGCCAAGGTCAAGCCCGTCTGGGTCCAGGCTCTAGTGGAGGCAAACAATGCAGAGGAAAGATGGAACATCAACTGTAGTGTGTGCCAAGCAGGAACAACGATACTGAACTAGAGAGGAGTAGCTGAGACCCACTGGAATAGAGCGTTCAAAGAAATGTCCCTGAGGAGATGACCTTTAAACTAATATAGAAGGGACCAGACAGCCTGCCAGACAGAGCAGAGAAGAAGCAAAAGGCAGTGAATACAAAGGCATGAGGTATACAGACGGTCTGGAGAAGTACTGTCCAAATGAAGTAGAAGGCAAACCTATGAACAGTTAAACCATTCCTCAGGGCCGGGAAGATGGCTCAGTAGATAAATGTCCTCGCCAAGCCTGACAACCCGCATTTGGCCTCTGGGAGCCACATGGTGGGAGGGCAGAACTGACTCCTACTAGTTACTCTGACCTTCACTGGCATTAGATGGCACCCGTGCACCTGCCCACACCCACCCATCCATCCACACGCACAAAATAAACCAATGTAAAAAAGTGAAAAGATTTCCACAAAGTATTACTGGCATAATATAAATGATGACGTATAATGACATATAATGACAGATCCACTGTATTGCTATCAAAGCTTGGTTACATTACACACCCAGCAGAGCTGAGTCTGGACCAGCTGCATCTCAGATGTTCAAAAGCTACAAGCACATTATGCTGAGCTAGACCCAAGGGTTCCAGGGACTGACGGATGGCCTATGTCACCGCTGTATAGTGACAGAAGCCTGTCAGAGAGGCGCGTCAAGATGGACAGAGCCTCCAGGGTCCTGCGGGGTTGGGATTTCATCTTAACTGCACCAGGCCTCTTTCTGCAGCAGCCTTTCCTGGCGCCCAAGAGAGAGCTGGCCACCCATCCTCTGTACTGCCACAGATTTGGATGGAGAAGGTAATACGGCACCAGGCCGTATTTGGACTGCATGTACACCTGGTTTCCTCTTAAGAGCAGGGATTATCTTTAGACACCACAGTCCGGCCCATCTTCCGGCACACAGTAGGTCTATTTCTTGGCAGAGCGAATGAGCAGGGCTCTGAGAATGAATGCTTTCAGAGCCCTTCCCAGTTTACAAACTCTCTTCAGCCACGTCTCACCTGCTCACGGCCTGAACTGCTTCGCCAATCAGCTTTCACGTCTACACTGCCTGCTAGAGTTCTTTTTTAAATCTGCCTGGCCATTTTGGAATCTTTTATTATTTCTATTTGTGGTGTTACTTTTCATATCTTTAATTTTTAAAAAAGATTTATTTATTTATTATGTATACAGTGCTCTGTCTGCATGAATGCCTGCAGGCCAGAAGAGGGCACCAGATCTCATTACAGGTGGTTGTGAGCCACCATGTGGTTGCTGGGAACTGAACTCAGGATCTCTGGAAGAGCAGCCAGTGCTCTAAACCTCTGAGCCATCTCTCTAGTCCCACCTTTAAAAGGTTTATTTTGTTTTTTTTTAATCTAGCAATTCCAACTCCTTGGTATCCAAACCCGTTGGTAATTGATTGCCTAATGTCTTGACTCTCACTTATGGTGGCTTATTTTCTTGTATATCTGACTATTTTAAACTGTGAGCACATTTTACACACACACACACACACACACACACACACACACACACACACACATATGCACAGACATACACACACAGACACACAGAGACAGAGACAGAGAGAGGCAGAGGCAGAGGCAGAGACAGACAGACACACCCTCTAATTAAGTGGTTTTCAAAGAATAATGAGATTGCAGAGTATCACTGGGCACTTGTTAGAGCTGAAACTCCGCTGAACAAGACTCTGTGTAGTTGAGGACTACCTTGCCCTTAATGAGCCCACCTGCTCACTCTAACGAATGCCATGAGTGAGACCCACAGAGGGACCCTGTGTTTGTCCTCAAGGGAGTGGAGAAGACGACAGACCAAAGCCACCTGCCTCACTTGCTGTTTCTGTTCACTGCTTTCCACTCTAGTTTAAGGTCAATGTGGTTCCTCTCTGGGATGAATGAGGTCAAAGAGGCCATTTTCAGAGGGTTCTGTGATTTATAGTGAGCCCCAAATATTGCCCTCAAACTCTCACCCAGAAGCGAGTTGCTCACTATGGGAAGAGTACCTAGCCTACTGCATGGGCAGAGAGAACAACAGGACAATTGGGAGAATTTCGGGGTCCACCTGTCCTTCTGTCCTTCATGGTCTTGCAGCTGGACACCCCCAGTGACCTAACACCCCTGAGGCCTGACACCGTTAAGGCCCCAGTCACCTCCACAGCGAAGCTCTGCTCCTGTTCCCGCAGGTGGCTGTAGGTCCCCAGCAGCCTCTGAAAGTGCTTCCACACCCGGGCACGCTGTTCCAGGTCAGGGGGACGAAGCCTGGGGAAGAACCAGGGAAAGCAGGGGTCAGTGGAAAGCTGGTCATCTCCAGACCCGATCCAAGGACCCTGCCTGTCCCAGGTCAGCATCAGATACCTAAGTGGTCAGGCCAACAGGGCACAGAGAGGCTGTGAGCTTGGGCAGGGAGCCAGGCAAGAAGGCACCTGCATTTCCTAGGCTTCTCATCTCCACAGGGCTCGGTAAACAGACAACCTGGCCCAAAATCAGGGTTAAACTCGGGGTACTAGCCAGCACTACCACTGCGGCTGTCAGGCACCCATGGCTGTAACTACAGTCTGTGTCATTGATACCACGGCCATGAGGGCTAAAATGATCCCTGAAAACAATGCCAGCAGACCTAGCAATGCCTCAGCGATGAACATGTGCTCACATCCCTTCAAAACTCAGGACACAGCATCTCAAACCACGTGACTTTCCCATTCATGTTAGTGAGTCAGACAATCCTGATTCTTTCTCCTTTGGGTCCACATCTCAACCCACCCTTCTCCATGGTCCTTTCTTGCTCATGTATGCTGTGAAGTATGGCGCCATTCTCAGCCACTGAGGCTCTTCGTATAGGCCCAGTACGTCACAAGGTTGGGGGGACTGCATATTTTTCTGTAGCGAGTTCAAATGGCTGCTCTGAGATGTCAGAAGGGATATGCTAATACCCCTTGTAATGATAGAGTACTGATGCTGGGAAGCCCCAGGCTGGGAGAGCTGGATGCTGCCACTAACCAGCGAGGTGGTGCTGGGGAGGTCTAAATTCTCTGCCCCGTTTCCCCATCTGCAAAATGAAATCAGAGCAGATGGTCTCCAAGGCCCTTCTGAGCTCTGCTTCTATGGCCTGACTCAGCAGAAGAACTGATGAGGCCAATGACTCACTCCTTCCGGATGAGCTGGCCGTCCACGGTCACCAGCCCGAAGTGCACCTCGAACAGGTACTTGAGCACGCACAGCTTCCTCCGGAGGTCCCCCTCGCTCTCACTGTGATCTCCATTGATGGCGATGAACAGGCACTCTCCAAACTGTGGACAGTCACGTAGCGTCAGTTGGTCCCCTGGGGGCTCCCTTTGCCTTCCGGGTCTCAGAGGATAATTAGGGGCGGGGGTGAGGCCCAGGGGACTCTACTAAGCTGCAGTTTCTGCCTTCTAAAGAGCTGTACAGTCCAAGGTAAGAAAGTGGCATCGGGGCTCCCAAGGACTGGACAGGAGTGGACTGTGGGTGTACTGAGAGCTGCGGGGTCGTATCCTTACCAGATGCAGGACGCAGAGGTGGTTGTCATTTTCTGTGGAGAAGCTGGTGTATGTGTCTGAGAGCTTCTCCAGCATCGTCATGGAGGAGATGATGATCGGGGCCAGCAGGGTGCTGAGCTGGTCCTCCAGGGCAGGGAGCTGCAGGAGAGGGAGAACAGGGATGTCTGACGTTTTGACACTGGTATGATGTCTACAAACAAAGAGGGACACATTCATAGCTTGGACAAGTCTGAAAGTGTGCCAGATACTGGGGACAAAGGAACAAGGCCTTACAGCAAGAGACCCACAGGTTAGACCTGCCTGAGGGGCCGCAACAGCCCTGATGGGGAAGGCAGGAGGAGAGACTGCTCCAGACCTTGTGTGGTGCCTAGGAGGCTGGGCTCACACCGGTGACTGCGTGGCTCAGGGTCCAAACCCAGAAGGAAACATTCAAGTAGGTGTGTCTGACTGCATTCACAGGCCACGTGCACCCAAAGAGAGGTTATGAGCGCAGCCCAACACAAACCCACAGATTTGCTTAAAACACGAGGTAGTTTGGGTGACTTTTTTTCTTCTGTAATTCAACTGAATGGTTTTCAAGCACAACCTTTGCAGATACTCCTGCAGATACGCTGTTAGGAGGCTGGACAAACCTGCAAGAACTTGAGCCATATTTTCCCCCATCAAATGCTTGAAGCATTTAACTGAGACCCCCAAGGAAGTCTCTTAGACACAGCAAAGTCTATGCCATCTGTAGACATGGACGACTTCAGGGACTTTATCCCAAGAAAACAAATATGTGTGCACAAGAGCATTCACAACAGCAACATGCAATTTCAAACAACTGGGAAAACAGAGAAATGTCCAATCCTAGAGAAATAGTTAAATAAGTAACACATCTAAACCACAGTTTCTTAGACTGAAGGTCACAATACGACACAGGTTTGACTAACCAAATAAAGGGTTTGCAAAATATTTGGCAATGGTAATAAGGTTCTGAATGTACAACCATGAAAAACTAATACAAAATAGAAAGTATAAAGGATCAGAGGAAGCACTGGTCCTAACACACCAGTGTGCTCTGCTTCTCACACCACTGTATCACAAAGCACCGATGAACATGGCCTTTAAACACCCCACTTCAGATTTGAGACTATGTTATGGATTTTAGACTTTTTACACCAGTCTTCTGTTTTTATAGAAATATAATGATTTACTCATGGAAAACAAAGACTTAATATTTCTTATTGCCATTCCTGTGCATATAATAAATTAGTGTATCTCAAACCATATTGTGTTAGAATTTTTTATTTAAAAAAAGATATTTGAGTGACTGACTTTAATTTCATAAAAATAACTTGATAAATTTTGACTTGGGTGTAGGCAGAATTATAAAAAAATTAGAAATGGCAGAATAATAGAAGTACTTCTATTATTTTGTGCCAATGTTTAGGTGAAGTGCTGTTCTCAGAATCGACAATTATAAAGTCACAATATCAATCAGCTCAGAAATATTGAAGATGGTTCGTGTGCTACAATACCAAACAGTATGGAAAAGATGTGTGTGTGTGTGTGTGTGTGTGTGTGTGTGTGCATGTGTGTGTGTGTTTGTTGCGCACATGCATGCATGTGCGTGAGCCAGTACACGTGCAGGTGCCTGCAGAGGTTAAAGAGGGCACCAGACACCCCGGAGCTGGAAGTACAAGTGGATGTGAGCCGCCACTGAGGGTGCTGGACCTGAGCTCAGGTCTCTAAGGCAGCAGTAAAGGCTCTCAACACCGGGCCATGTCTCCAGCCCCAGGTTTCAGCCTTTTGTAAAAGCAAACAAGTACACCATGCCATTAGTGTTTAATGTGGCTTTCCTCTTTCGTTAATGAATTTAAATGTATACAAATGAATTGCTCAAAAAAATTTTTTTAAGGATGTATTATCAGCAAGTGCCTGGTTCCACATCTATTTTACACCTATATGTCAGGGACTATGGAAAACTCTCTGCGGTGAAAAGAAGTTGCAGTTAGAAAGTTTATGAGGTTCTTAACTAAGTGATGAAGAATCCATCTAGCTACTTAAAATATTATTGTTTCAATGACACAGGAAATTCCTCTGACACAGTGTATACGCTAAAAGGATGTGAATGCTCTATATTTTACAATGCATAGAAAAAGACAAAGTATTGAAAAGCATGAAGAAACCCAACACCATTCAAGATATTACTTCTGGATAAAGAAATTATAAATGACTCCCCTCCCCCATTGTTCCCTAACAAGCACGTGTTCACGTGAACAGACTCTTCTTCCTCATTCCCATTCCTTCTCCACCCTTCCAGAAGAAGGGAACAGTTGATACCAGAGTCTGTGAAAACACCAGAGGAAGCCTGACAAAGACTCCAATTCCACCCTTGGTGCTGGGGGGAAGAGAAGGGAGGAAATGCTGGCCTTGCTGATTCCACAAGACTCAAAAGCTCCTCGCAGGAAGAGTGCTGAAATACACGAAGAGCTGAACCCCTCACCTTGCAAACAGAACCAAGCTACTCACTGGCTGGTGAGTAGCAGTGGCTCAGAGCAGGACCAGGCACTTTCCTGTCAACCTTCCCATCGTTCAGGAGCCGGGTCTGGGTGCCAGCTTGGGCTGCCCACCCTGTCACGGCAGGCCACAGCCTGTTCAGTTCTGACTGCTGGTAGAGAGCGGCCTGCACTCACGGGGATTACTCAACCTACAGTCCACTGTTCATGGTGCCTTCCTGGATCCTACGTTCCCGAGAGCAGGAACTACATTGTTATACTTGCTGCTGTACTCGTAGAGGCCAGCAAACTTCAGGCTCACAGTGTTTGGTAAACGACTGCACCCTAACACAGGTAGGAACAAACGCTTGCAATTTATTCAAATTCTATTGTTTTCTTTAACTGTCACAAATTATACTGAAAGTCATTTAAAAAAAATCCAGACTGAGTGCAGTAACTCATCTACAGGTAGTAGCTTCCTTCCTCCCTCCCTCTCTCCCTCCCTCCCTTCCTCCCTCCCACCCTCCCTCTCTCCCTCCCTCCGTCCCTCCCTTCCTTCCTTCCTTTTCTTGGTTTTTTTGAGACAGGGTTTCTCTGTGTAGTTTTGGTGCCTGTCCTGGATCTTGCTCTGTAGACCAGGCTGGCCTCGAACTCACAGAGTTCTGCCTGGCTCTGCCTCCTGAGTGCTGGGATTAAAGGTGTGCACCACCACTGCCCGGCAGTAGTAACTTTTTCTACTGAGAATATTTTGTGGTGAAAGAAGACCAAAAAATTTCAATATACAGAGTATAAAGGAATATTCTTATATATTACTTGATAAATTATAAAGTGTGGAAACGTTTTTGAATGGCTTTTAACTCATTTTTATTTCTAGAAATAACTGAATCAGCCGGGCGGTGGTGGCGCACGCCTTTAATCCCAGCACTCGGGAGGCAGAGCCAGGCGGATCTCTGTGAGTTCGAGGCCAGCCTGGG